AGACTGTACATCCATAGCAGAAGAAGAAGCATCATGTCTTTTGGAATCATGACTGTAGGGAAACACCATTTCATCAAATAAAACATGCCTTGAAATAACACATTTCCGAGTTCTAGGATCAAAGCAAATAACCCCTTTATAGCCCAATGAATATCCCAAGAAAACACATCGCTCAGACCGGGATTGAAGTTTATTGTTGTTATATGGACGCAACCATGGATATACAGCAGTACCAAAAACCCGCAGAGACTTCAAATCAGGTGGTTTAGTATACAACACTTGATAAGGAGATTCAAAGGACAAAGATTTACAAACCATCCTATTTATTAGAAAGACGGAGTGTGCACAAGCATAATACCAGAATTCAGTAGATAACCCAGCAGCAATAAGCAAAGTAATACCTGTATCCACTACATGCCTATGTTTCCTTTCAACTAATCCATTCTGCTGTGGTGTGTATGGACAAGCAATCATGTGTTCTATCCCTTTGGAATCAAGAAACCCTTTAAAAGCAAAACTGGTGTATTCACCTCCTCCATCAGTTTGCAAACATTTAATTGCAGTGCCAAACTGAGTATGAACAAAATTATAAAACTTCATAAACACAGCAAGTATATCAGATTTATTGCACAAGGGAAAGATCCAAGTATACTTTGTATATTCATCGACAAACAGTACATAGTATCTCTATGCCCTTCAAGGGATTTTACAGGAGATGGTCCCCAAATATCGGAATGAACCTTTTGAAATGGCATAGAACACTTTTATTTTAATCGAAAACACTCATTGAATTTTTCCTTTTCTCACTTGAAGAACATATATTATCGCGTACTATCAATATCTATCCACACTCTTTCGCCTTTTTCAACATAACAGCAATATGTCATCGAGTGGATGACCCAAATCTCTGATGCCACAGCAATTTGACTCTGACCAATCTTCCCACAAGAAAGCTGAACACTGCCTGAGACTGTACCCTCCTCACTCTTTAGAACTGGGTTGAAAAATCCTCTTATCTTACTCTCCGTGATACACACCTCTTTTCTTTTACTCCCCAAGACCTACTTTCACACAAAATCAAACCAACTATGTTTCAGCAAGAGTTGTTACAGACAGAAGATTCTTTGCCACAATTAGGAACATGTAATACATTATTAGAATCAAGTATGAGACTTTATGATGTTAAGAGGTAGTAGAACCAATATTGTCAGATAAACCTGCCATGAATTAGTAATTTTATCCGAACCACCAAAGGAGTTACATGACATGACTCAGGCATTCACCATCCAGGCCAGTGCATATGGTGGAGAAGCCCATTGCTGTCAACAAATCCAGGAATCTTGATGCTGGATGTCTGCTGTGCCGCATGCAGTCTGATGGATGGTGGAGAAGCCCTTGGAAAGCATAATTGGCCCTGTGAAAGCATTTCAAGTCCGAATGCCCTATTTTCCCACAAATCTGACATTTCACTAAGAACCCGTGGATTGGTGTACTGAATTTCGATGAAACACATTTGGACAGCCCGTTATGACCCATTTTATTGCAATTTGACATTCTTAACCACAGTATGCACGTTGCTTCGTATTACCATCCCACCATCTGCCTTGAAATTCCCAGACTGAAAACCAGGAGGAATTACCTGAGTTGAAAAAATTTTACCTCTATATCCGACCATTTTGTTTTCGGCATTTGAACCAGTGGAAGGGACTTCTTTACATAATCTCTGTCGTGGTCCCACCAGAATTAAACCATTCCTACGAAACCACAACCATAAGTCTGTGTTTCAAAATGTGGGTGGGACTAATGGAAGCAAAGGTAATCTGGCTGCTGCTGACAGTTGAGTACAAAGGGAAATTGTTGTTGTGTACTGAGACATTTGGAAATTTGTTGCTGAATGACACCACAGTTGTCGCTTACAGATGACCCAATGGATTAGAACCCGGATGCATTAGATGATTCTGCATCCGTAGAAGAACCTGAGTATAAAAAGCATTCGATACTTTTGAGCCAAGGCCAGAGCTCTATTAACTCCTTTCCCAGCACCCTAGAACTGAGTCGAAACTTAAAGCTAATACAGACCTCTGGGAAAGAATGCTGTTCCATTATGAATCTTGGGTCCAGCAACCAGCAATTCTCATCACCCTATCTCATGGCCACAGCATTTGTCTCTGATCGTCTCCCTTCTCGTAACCTCTCTCACGTTTCTATTGATCTGCTCCATTCTAGGTAATGCCAGCTCTGAATAATTGCAAAAGTGGATTAGCTACAGATTTAAGCGGATCAACAAGATTAGGACCAAGCTGCAAATGATTTTACCAATTCTTACTCAATGATCAGTCAGAAGTCTGCTTAATAATCTAAGCAGCTGCCACTTATCAAGATTCCCAATCTCAACTATATGTTTTTGCTCTCAGCGTAACCCATTATCAGTAAGATTCACAAACTCTTCGGGTACCGATCTTTACCATCAAAAATGCCCAAAAGATAATATTCCAAACAGACTTGAATTTGAATGTCAACATTTAGCAAAATTATCAACCCCTCAGTTTTCTCACGTAGCATTACCCAAAGCCTCAACTTTAACGTAAATCTAAGCTGATGAAATTACCTATGTATCACCAACACACTGGTGTACAATTTCGGTGAAAGATGAAAGTTTCCTACTTTACTCAAGAAAGATTGGACCACTTTCTGTAACTTTTTCATGCCAGCGAAGAAAGAATGACTTTCCTTCTAATTCACGAAGATCGAAAAACTTACCTGCTACCACTTAGAAGGGACAAAGCACTTTCACTTGTAAACTCACAGCAACGAGAAAGAATGAATTCCTTCTAATTGACAACAAACACATAGACTAGGATCAAATCATTATAATACCAGATTGCAGATACACCGAATCAATTACATCCAAACTTTAAGCGAAAAAAAACAGAATAACACCTAATCATAGACGCGCGCAAGAGAAAACTCGCCGCCTCCAGACTCAATAAACCCCTTCAGAAAGAACAATCTTCGGCGATATCAACGCCCGGAAGACACCATCAGGGAGAAGAAGAAACTCCAGGATCAAATCTCAGTCCATTTCCAGCCGATTTACCGCAAGCTAAGATATACAAAGAACGAAGAACAAAGAAAGAGCTTATTGAGATAAGAAGAGAGAAAGAATTGAGAATTTCATATATTGTTTTTGTTAACCATCATGCTGTTTACCATTTGGTTTTATAGACTGAATCTCGTTCAAGTTCATAATACACTTCAATTAACCCTTTATCCACTATAACAACCCAGCCCTTTCAACTACCCTCTAAACATAATCTGAGTACCATTGTCATACAATGACCCATGTCATCACTAGACTATGTTCTTAATCTTTATGAGCCGTCTTCCTCATCATCTCCCCCAAGCGCTCCATCAATCGCCCTAGTACCTACCTTTTGCCGAGTTACTGGGTTACTGGTCTTTAACATGTGTGTTTATCCCCGTCATTGACGTTTTTATCTCTTGTTCAGTTTCTTAGACAGGTGACACATACTCATTGTAGGGGTGCTAATAGAACTTTCTTGTGTCAATTAGAAGCATAATCTCTCATTGCTGGTGTTTATGGATGTGTTTAAATCGTCTCAACAACTTTGGACCAGTACAACTTAAATGCATCGAATTGTTACGTTTTGAACTAATGGGGGCTTCTTATTAGCTCATGTAGAGCTACTTCAATAAGAATCATATCGTCATTATTTTTTGCTATGCCCAGTAGCAGACTATAGATGAGGCAAAAAGCAGAGAGAGCAGCGGTCCTTTGTGAAAGTAAGAGGCACACCAAGAATATAAAAAGAGGCATGCTATTATATATATATATATAGGACACTCTCTCACTACTCAGTAGCCTTCTCTTGTTTACCGCTGGCATCTTTGATTGCATGCAGTTTTCACTGCTTGCCACTGCACCCGGCACGACCCCTTTCTTATCTATCTTCACCCTCTCTATCTTCTTCCCTCCCCTACTTATTCCAAAACACCCTTCTCCAAAACGTGCGCCCCTTTCTTCGTAACCCAAACATCTGCCCTTTTGCCACACAAACGGAACATCGCCCTTTTACGTTTTCACAAACGGTCATGGTGCACGCCCAAAAAAGAAACTTTGTCACTAGCACTTGTCAAAATGACAGATCCCGTCCCTACATGTACACGCCGTCAGCACGTCACAACCAATGCAGCCGCCACTCCCTTCTCCCCACATGTCCGCCACTTATTTGCTGTCTCATATATTACTCTAAACTTGCATACAGGATAAAATTTCACGTCAAACACATACCATGTAATGTATCATTACAACGTGTCTTCAATGGCGAAGCTAGAATTTTACAACAACGAGATCATTTTTGGGCCCACATTCATTACACAATTCCATCAAACACCTGATGGACACCTATCAAAATCTACCAACATTCGTCGAGAACTTATGAGACATCTATATGTAGTTGCTTACGTCGAGCATGTGATTTGCACCATTGAGTTGCACACAAAAACAAAGGAGAAAGAAGACGATGGAAAGAAGGAACAAAATTGGAGAATGTAGAATAAACAATAGGTTGTAATTCAACATTGTTCACTTTCTCCTTAATTAGGGTCAAAGATAAATTTACCAAGAAATATACATAGAATATACATGGGTTGGGAAGTTGTTATGGTCATGAGCAGCCATTGACCCTAATTGGACTCCATTACTGCGTTTCATAGTATCTCCGTAGATGATAATGTTAATACGTTCCACTTTTAAGCATTTAGAAAAAAAATTAAATAAACGTGTTAATTTGAAGTGGTATGAAAATATTAAAAGGCACCCGAATAACCTCTCCGCATACTCAATCCATCCAGGTTGCATCCTTCGCTTATCCTCGTGCCCAAACACTACAAATTTCATGCTCTGGACAAAATGAGTCACTAGACGTATACATGGATACATAAACACACACATACTCTCAGACATGGGACCACTGTCCTGTGCTTAAATTCCAGCTTTTTCGTGAACGACACGATCCGACTCTGCCGCTCTCTCTCCTCTCCTCTCCTCTTCCTCTCTTACTCTCTTACTCTCCCTCTCACTCTTCTTTTTGTTCTTCATTTTTCTCTCAATATTTTTTCTTTTAAGTGAACATTTGTTTCTTGTTCTTCTTCTTTGTTCTCCATGGAAATGGAAGATCAGTACAATATGTCCGATCTCCGTCAACTCATGAACGGAGGTCGGACCCACTTCCCCTCCATCCCACTACAACCCACAACCGAGCTCTTCCCGAACCACCACCGAGGTCCTCCTCCTCCTCCTCCTCCTCCTCCTTCCTTCATCACCAACACCATCCGTACGAGCAGCTCATGATGATAGACCGTTCTCAAGCCCACGAGATGATCCCTCGTGGGCTTCACCATCATCACGAGTTTCGCTCTCCGGACTCTACTAGTGCTGCAGGTGTAACTACTCCTACTACAGTTACGGCAGCTCCTTCTCTTAGTGGCGGTGGCTTGGAGGCTGAAGCTGGCGGGTGTCTTGGCGGTGAAGGGTCTGGAAGGTGGCCGAGGCAAGAGACTCTCACTCTTCTGGAGATCCGATCCGGGCTTGATTTTAAGTTCAAAGAGGCTAATCAGAAGGGTCCTCTCTGGGATGAAGTCTCTAGGTATGTAAATACATACACTTGTACAAGTATACACCCTACCCTAGCATACCTACTTATCTTCCTCTTCTTTTTCAATTTTCAAATTTTTTTGTTCACTCTTGGTTTGTCAAATTTGTTTTGGTCATCATTATTATGTGATTTCTCTTAACTAATTGGTGCATGATGGTACTTTGGCATGGAGGTTTAAGTAAAATCATATTCGGGTACTTCCATTGTGTTTCTACTTATTAATTAAAATTATTTTGAAGCAGTTTGTGGATAGTTTTCCATGTTTTGAGTTGGAAAATAATTATAAAAAAAATAAAAAAAAAAATAAAAAAAAAACAATTTCAGTTGATCAGTTGCGAACCGAGTTTATCAGTTGAAAATGTGACCTTTCTTTCAAACACAAATTTTTGTTTTTATTTTATTTTGCCATAATAATTAATGGTTGGCCTCTTCCATGCTTGAATACTATATATTAATCGACTGGTTTTTATCTGATATTGAAAAGACATGATGCACAAGGAAAATACAGCCCCCCTAAAAGACTATACATTCTCTTTCTTTAGAAAATTTGAAAGGTCATATGCTTAATTGGGATATCATAACATCATCATTAGCAAAGGAATGATCATAAATATTTCACATGGCCACAACATTTTAATGGGTTTTTAGCTTAGTTATTTTAAAATTCGATTTTCAATTTAAGGCTACTTACCAATATCCTCTTCATATAACCAATCACTATGATATATACTCTGCTTAATTACAAGCTGACACTACCAGGATTGCGGGTCTTTTACTAAGAAAGTGTTGTATTTGTTTTTGGTTTCTTTCGTAGAACCCAGTTTTTATTTCCTTTCATCTGCCTCCTATTTATAATTAAAATTTGTGGCAGGATCATGTGTGAGGAACATGGGTATCAAAGAAGTGGGAAAAAATGTAGAGAGAAGTTTGAAAATTTGTACAAGTACTACAAGAAAACAAAGGAAGGAAAGGCTGGAAGACAAGATGGAAAGCATTATCGGTTCTTTCGACAGCTCGAAGCTCTCTATGGAGAAACTACCAATACCGTAGTCTCACCATCTTTGCCTGCAGAAACCCATTTCGTCGGTAATAATAGTAACAATTATCGTTACCAAGCAGCTGGCAATGCTCAAGCAAATCAAGAGATCACAACTCCCTATCATCATCAGTCATCTGATCAAAAGCACTGTGACAGCCTTAGCCTCTCGAATTCATCCGAGTTCGAAACCTCCTCCTCAGAAGATCAAGACATTAATAATGATGTCAGTGCAGCCGCAATGGACAATGATTCGCAGGAGGTGAAGACAACGAGGAAAAGAAGAGGAGGAATTGGACGGAGGGGTTGGAAGGCGAAGATAAAAGAGTTTATCGATGCACAAATGAGGAAGCTGATCGAGAAGCAAGAGGAGTGGTTGGAGAGGCTAATGAGGACCCTTGAGCAAAAGGAGAGGGAGAGGGTGGTGAGAGAGGAGGAGTGGAGGAAACAAGAAGTTGATAGGGTTGACAGAGAGCAAAATTTCTGGGCCAAAGAGAGGGCATGGATTGAAGCTAGGGATAAGGCTTTGATGGATGCACTGCACAAGATATCGGGAGGATCATCATCAACTGATCAAGCAAAAGCTACTAATTACAATTCTTCATCACCTGATCACAATGATCCTGATCAAATAGTTCATAACATGAGTAGGAGTGCCAAGGAGTTATTCATGAATAAGAAGCGAAAGGAGAATGCAAATTCGAGAAGCGCATCGGCAGCCTGTTACTTTCAGAGCAATGAGTCGTGTTCCTCATTGTATAGTAGTCAAGGAGGGTATTGTGGTGAAATGAGTAATGAACAAGGTAACCATGATGGTTCTAACAATTCTCCTAATGGTGGGAATAATGCAAGTAATGTGGGGAGCAATGCAGTGCCTGATAATTGTTTTCCGTTCTTGATGAGTGAGGGGGAGAACTTGTGGGAAAATATGGATTGAAGCTGAGCAAGGGAAGCCAAAACCAGTGATGATAATATTATATGAGGTGTAATATTAGTACTTTGTACTAGGTGATCATCAGCTAGCTAGCTGCAGAAGACAACTTGCTCGGTTGAATTTTGTTATGGGGTTTAACAAATTTGAAAAAAAACCTCTCTCCCTCTGTGATGGTCTCATGTGAGGTGAGGTTTACAGTATGATCATGTAAGCAAGGAGCTAACTGGGGGTTATTTATGTGTAGGGTTTGATTGATGTTTTAATCATGGGACTGAAGCCTAAAGACATGGAAATTTTAGAGGGAAATAATTATGGATTTGGACAGGTTGTAGTGCTGCTAGCGTTGGGTATATGTTTTTGTGGGTTTTCATTTGTTTTAAGCTTCATTTTTTTCATCTTCCATGCGTGAGTAAATATGTTTCTCATTTTGTCATGATATGGATTCCAAGCAGGCCATACTAAAAAATGAATGCATATTGAACATAATATTAAGAGCCAAGTTTTGAGCATTGTTAATTCGTACTTGAATTTGAATTTCCCTTCTTGTAGCTAAGATGAATTTAGTGTAGAATCGCTTGTATAATATATTAAAAAAATAAATAAAAAAGATGTAATATTAAGAGAATAATTTCTTGTTATAGGTTAGGAAAAAAAATTGCAAATTACTAGACCAGATAAACCCACGAACTCTCTCCTTATGCAATATACAAGGACGGAGGCAGCTAAGGCCCACTGGTTGCGGCTGTCTCCACTAAAGTTTTGTGCGAAGGAAACAATATATGATGCTTACATAAGGGGCAGATAACATATTTACCATATTATTCATGCTCCTTCAAAAAAATAAAAGATATATATAACTTGAATTTATTATATTTAAGTACTTTAACTGCTCTGTTGAAATTTTCAAATTATATGTATAAAAATAAGTGATCATTGTGAAAAAAAAATGCCTACAAATTGGCTTAATGAAATTTGAGAAGAAGAAAAATAAGATCACATGAGGGAGTATTCAATATATTTCTCCAACATTTAACTAATCTTGTGGTTGAACTCCTTAACATGTAATAGGGCTCCGATAGGTTAAGCTTGTTCTACATGCATGCATTGTTCAAGGACTTCACAGGAAAATATGGTTTTTTTTTTTTTAATTTGTTTTAAATAAGCTTCAAATGTTTAACGTGTACGATGCAACGTAGCAGAAAATGTTTTTTATGGCATGAAAGAAATTTTTGTTCACAAAATTGGAAATGTGAAATTATCGGTTGAATTTGATTTTTAAATAGAGTAGAAAATAGGCGAAGTTACGACATAATTAAAAGGTGTGCTTTAATAAAAAAGAAATTGTGTGTTAACCAAGTAATGGTGAGGGAGGGGTGCGCCAATGGGTTAGGGTTAGTGCAATTTTCCACAGTTTGTCAGAGTATCTCATACTTGGATGTATAAAATACTTTGGAGCATCATAGAATTTTTCAAGATTATGATAGATCGAAGTTCGATTCTTTACAATATAGCCAAAAAATAAAGAAAATTCCCGTACTCTGAAGGAAGTTGCCTTCTCGATCAGATGAGCATATATAGCATGGCTGGTTGGTACGTACTAGCTATACAGAACTGACAATATTTGGAAGCAGGCAAGGCATGTCATGTGCAGCTTCTTAGTAAAGCAAACGTACGAATTGTATCACCAGAAACATGTCATTATCTGCAATTTAAGGCACTCGAGTACTGATTTCCATTCAGTTTTAAATTACAGCCAGCTGAGTGATATATGTAACACTGAGAGAAACTAATTAGTATAGCATATATACATCATTATGCAGTAACATATATATGACGGTCGGGAGTCTACAGAATTATATATTTTCATATACAATAATACACTTTTTCTTTTCACGTACATGGTTTTGGAAATACAAAAGTTTTAGTTTAAATGTTTTCTTCTTTTATTTATTAGCAACAGTCGTTTGTAAGTTTTGAAGTAGATACCTCCTCAAGCAAAGTGAAGATTCGTACAAAAAATGGACCTGGATTGGATTTTATAAGATTGTATCAAGCTTTCATTGATTACTACAATTGTCATTTTCTTTCATATATTTTATTTTATATGTCTTTTGGTTTTAGAGAACGTTTCATATATTAGCTTTAATTAGTTCCATTGACTATCTTGATGAAATATGTAGTTATAGGCAAGCACGCTCATTCTGTAAACTGAGATATTCAGAAGTTCAATTAGATCAGATTTAGTTTATTACATGTTCGAATTCCTTTACTTCTGCTTTTGGTTCTGATTTCAAATTAGCCATAAGCACGTCGATGAGTAAGTGGTTGGGTCACTCAAATTTGGTAATCAAAATCCTTCTCCTTGTTCCTTGCTCTCTTTTGAAAATCCTCGTAGGATGATAGCTCATAAGGTTAAAAACATTTGTCCTTACATTCAAGTATTATGTTCGATTCTTCATCTCCTATTATCGCTTGTATGAATATATATAACCTACTCGAAACCCAATATTTTACTTTTCTCGCCAACAAAGAAAGTTCTCAATTGATTGTTCTCTATCAAATGAATACAAAAGAAAGATAGAAGGGGACTCTGAGTTTATTTTTTTCCCCCAATTCTTTTTGTTGAAATTTTTTGGGGAAAGGGGGTGGCAATCAAATTGAAGCTTAAATTTTCCTTTATCATAAAGGTATTGTAAACCGATGTATGTGATGCATCGGTTTGAAGAAAGGTTTAGGGTACTAAACTGAAACATTTAGATAAAGCACACAAATTTAGCTATCAGCTGAAGTAATGCGTTCTATACACCGGTGCATTATATAATTTTCAAGGTCGTGCATGGGAGAACTATATTCACATGTAGCTTGTGGAGAGAGTCCATTGTGATCCAAATTCAGCTATCCCATACACCAACGCACTATAGAATTTTCAAATCAATACATGGGAGAACTGTATTCGCTTGTAGCTAGTGGAGGGAGTCCATTGTTATCCAAACACAGAAAAGGGTCAGTCATTACTCATATACATAACACAGTGAACACTCTTGGACAAACACTAGTGACCGTACATAGGAAAGAGTAAAGAAGCTTCCCACCACGGGAACCAAACATTGCAGTCATTGTCTCAGTGATTTTCCAAGTACCCCCCATTTATTTTGTCTCTCTTATTGTCACTATTTTGATGAATCTCCTTCCCCGAACTTGCTTTGGTTTGCTTGTCCCAAGGCCAAACTGCTTCTGTTTCCTGCTTCTGCTTCCGGCTGCTTGAGACAGTTGAGTAGTTGAGTCATCCGCAGTCAAACGAGGAGATTACATGCATGACAATTTTAGAAATTTCAAGTTTAAGAAAAACAGCTTTTTTTGGGAATGCTTTTGCTTTGCTTGCTTCATGCTTTTGCTGAGGTGACCACTTACTGAGCTGATGTATACAAAACACCAAAAGAAAAAGAAGAAAATTTTTGAACCGTTACTGCTCTGCTTTTGTAGCTTTTGGCTTATCCCAAATTGGGAAGTCTGGCCATTGCTTCCAGGCTGCTTTTAAACAATCTTTAGACATTACTGACATTTACCATAGCAATTTAATCTACACATGTAAAACATAAATTAACTATAGAAATAGAACTCCTTCATCTTTTTCTAAAATCCCAGTTTAAAAGTTAAAAATAAATAAGAAAAAAAAAGGGAACTTTAACGAAAAGCACCTGGTACTGTTCACTTTAACGAAAAATCACATTTTTACACTAAAAAGTCAATCCTGGTACTATTCACTTTACCCTTTATTTTGTCTTTATCATTAAAATTTAAAATTTTCAAGCCTTTTTCATTAGTTTTCCTAAAAAAAAAAACCCTGCACATTCTTAGGGTTTAGGGGTGTGCCCAATTGGCCCAAAAGCCCACTTCAATTAGGTACTCTGAATTGGTCCAGAAAGGTGTATATATGGGCTTGTTAGTCAATATTATTTATCCCAGCAGGTTATTTTGTTGAAAATTTATTTTCGCACTCTTGTTTTCTCCGTGCTCTCTTTTACTCTTTTCTAGCTGTTGAATTTATCAATTAGAGGAGAATTAAGAGGCAAATCAGAGAAAAGAGAGTAGCAGGAGAAAACGGAAGTGTGGAAGTTATATTCTCCTATTGTGCTTAGGGTTAATGTTAAGAAAGGCAGTATACCATATAGAGCTATTCGGATCGGGCGAGAAGCCCTCTCCCTTCTGTTCCTTCGATTCCTTCATCAATCGTCGCTCGTTGGAAGAATCGGGATGAATCTCCGAATTAATTTTTTTCGGAAATTTTTCGAATCTGATCTTGAATTTTGGGTCTTCTGCCTTATTCAGTTGTCATGGTTTGTGCTGATTGATCTTGTGTTTGGAGGTGAATACAAGGCAGGTTCAATGCTGCAAAGGCAAACCCAAAGTTTGGGTCCATCCGAAGTACTACTCAAAGCCTCAAATTTTAAGAGCTCAAAGTTCACAAAACAAAGGAATTGAACCACAGTTGCAAATATTGTAGTAGACTCGATTTACGCCATGTTTTGGTGCCTAGGATTGGATTGGATATTGGCGCCTAGGATTGGATTGGATAAGTTATTGAATCTATAACAAGTTGATAGAAGAAACGGAGACCAACTCACAAAGTTTGACATATTCAATCTTAGATACCAAACGCGACCTGTCAATAAAATGACTAGCCCAAGGGACGTCAAAAACCAGTGCAGTACGATGAACACGCAAACCATTCAAGAAACAAGGTAATTAAGATCAAAACCAAATAGACAAAAACTGGATGTTGGAAATTATAGTGCTTATCTTCAATTCAGGCAATAAAAAGTAACTGTTTAGGAAACATTTTTGAAACTCAACATGTCACTGGCCGTCAAGCTTTTATTCTACCACCATCCTAATATCCGAGATCAAGAACAAGTTCGAAAAAACCCTAATAATACGCTTGAGAATGACAAAAGCCATACACAGACCGCAAGATAGTTTTCCAAAAATAAAACAAGAACTGTAAATTTCTTCAGTACTTGTAATCCTTCACATGGAGAGACTCAGCGGCACCCTCACCGAGCTTGGCATCACCCTTGTAGATTCCAAGAGTAGCTTCTGAGTTGGCCTTGGCCCTTGTGAGGAGAGCAGCCTGCGCCTTTGGGATGTTTCCCTCTTTCCCTGCCCATGCCTTCAGTGTGCTCTGCTGAAGAGCACGTCCGAAGGAGAAGGATAGAGACCACGGCTTCTTTCCCTTGAGTTGGTTCATGGCGTTGAGGTTGAGGGTAGCCTCCTCCTCACTCTGTCCACCGGACAAGAACACAACAGCAGGGACAGCTGCTGGGGTAGTGCGCAACAAGGCGCGAACTGTGTACTTAGCAATCACTTCTGGTGAAACCTTCTTGGCATCAGATCCTGGGGTAACCATGTTGGGTTTCAAGAGAGTTCCTTCAAGCAGGACATGGTGGTCGTTAAGGGCCTTGTAGCATGCGGCAAGAACACGTTCAGTCACATCGGCAC